CTCCTCCTCCTCCTCATCATCATCCCCATTTTGGCTCAAGCACTGTTGGCACCAGCAGATGCCTGCCGCCCCGCGCACGCGTCCGTCGTAGTATTTTTGCATCATGTTTACACGCGGGGCTAAGGGCTCCCCGAGTCTCAAGTCCATTCTCTCTTCTGATAATGATATGGGTTCCGATGTTGAGGGCAGGAGAGCTGGTGAGCGGTCGCCATCCAGCGAGATCACGAATGTTGATCTGTGGAAATTCATGAAAGGAAGCTCAACACCAAGCTCAAGAAGGGGCAGAAGGATCTGAGTGCTGTGAATACGACGGCTCATGCAGCTACTGAGGCTGCCCAAAATGAGCACAAGATGGCGGCAAACGCCCTTTGCATTGCCCAGGGTGCGCAGGCAGGTTCTCGTCCAGCGAGTGCAGCTTTGACGTTTGCTTCTAGGGGGGCAGGCCCTTTTCGACCTCATCAACCTGAGGGAGATGATGCTTACACGATGGTGCTTGGTGGGTTTCCTGAGGCCTCGGGTAAGGATGATATGATGTTTTACCTGGACAATCTTTGCTCGATTTTGGATCTTGGGGCCGTCACACGTAGGTGGTGCTCCTCTCCTAATGAGAGTCATGCTGCAGTCTAGGTGATCTTGCTGTGTGGGCCCTCTTGGGAAACATCGTGGGTGTGTCGATCGTGATAGCTTCAATGGAGTGGATCGTGGTAAAGCGAAGCACGTTCCAGTTGTTGTGGGAGATGGTGTTCCTCTGCCGGGACTCAAGTTGGATGAAGAAGCACCAACCATTGGAATAGCGTCGGACTACGTCAACCTTGGTGAACATGCCCATCGTTCTCTCTTCAATGCAGAGGTCCGCAATCGTCGTTTCAACATCGTCTTCCCCCAGCGGGATATCAGGTTTCCTGATGAGATGGGGCGGAGGAAGGTCGTAGCATACATCAATGCCTTGTGGGTCCCAGTTCTCACTGTGGTGGACTTGACACGGAGTTGCTGAACTCTGACCTCGCCGATAATTCAGTATATAAAAGGAATTCAGAGTGAACCGTTCGCTTCGGAGCTGGATTCCGCTTGTCAAAATCCTGGGGCCAGAAGCTCTTTCAGCCCCTTGAATGTGATCACGCTCAGCTGCTGTGGGGTTGCTCTTGGGCAATTCAATGTTTCTTTGCGGGTCTATCTCGGGTGAGTGCGAATGGGACGTGCTTCTTCCGCGGAGGTGTTCGCTGTTTCACACAACCTTTTCAATTATGCTGTTGGGCATTCTGTCATCGCTTTTCCTGTCATGCTGTGCACACGTGGCTGCTCCAAAGTCATCAAGCGGAGGCACTTGCACACTTTGCGTCGTGCACCTTATCGTGTACATCCTCGCGTTTCTATCTTCCCATGCTGATGCATGCATGTTTCTATGATGCATCCTCCTTCATCTTCGGCTATCCCTCGCAACGACACATGCCTGGGGACCCTTGAATCTCGGGTGCTGACTACACTGCTGAATTGGGCCCAACGGAATTCTCGAAGATCAGTATCTTGGTGAATTCTCTCGTGGCATCAGACATTTGCGTGGTGAATGGTTATTCGGATTCGCCGTGCAGTATGGCTGTCTTATCCCTTCGTGCGTTCTGCGGCCAAGCTACTGTGCCTACTCGGTTTGCATATGGTTCCTCTCTCGACCTCAGTGCTGTCTCCTAAATTTATGGCGTCGTGATTTTGAAGGCTCGGCGCAGTAGAGTTCGGCAGACCAAATTCTTGCCGCTGCCGCTGCCCTCGCGGATCATTGGATGCTGATCGCGCAGTATGAATGTCAACGTGTGCGTGTCTGGCGCGAAAATAAATCTCTAGGCAGGCGAGTTGAGCAACCTGGGGAGTTCGCGTGCCAAGTGGCGACGACGCTTTCTTCGGATGTGCCGCTGGCAGATTTCCCATTTATTTTTGGAAAGGCTGCGGTGTCGAATGGGAAGAGTAGGAGTGCTCGAGCTGCTGCGCGTTTGGATCGCGTTCGCCTTCATGTCTTGGAGGCTGCCTGGAGGCAGGCGGCAATCCAGGGCGATAATTTGAAGTTTGCTCGTAGAGCGTGGGCTGAGGGCGCCGTCTACGCGATCGAATGCACTGGGAAATGCTCCAGGCTGTGCCGGGCAACCTGCGTGCTGGCGGCGGGGGCAAGAAGGTCGCGGGAGACTCGGGCAGACTGGCCCTGCTCATTCGTGAAGCAGAACGCTGGCTCATCGCCAATCCGTCGGAGATAGTGGATGAGGATCAGAAGTTTTATAGCAAACAGTCCGCCGAGTCCCGCTCCGGTCTCTTTAACGTCCCCGCTTGGGTCTATGACAAGTTCGACTTGGGCGACGCGCGCAGCGTCTCCCGCCTCCTTGAACGCACTTTGCAAGTGGGGCCCCGCGAATCCTGCTGCTCTGAAGGCGTGGTCGTGGCTGGGATGTCGCGGGCTCTCGCCGGACAGGGCGCCGCCGCCCTCCCCGACGTGCCGGAGACTATCGATGGTGGGGGT